CCTTTAAAATAATAATATGTCTATTGTGTATTATTTTATTATATTTAATTAAATTAAATTTTTAAATAGTAAAATAGTTATAATACATTTGTCGTGTGCGAACATAAAAGTCGTTTACCTCACTATTTGCGGATATCCACACACGAGCAGTGTTTTGACGACCTATAGCGTCGTTCGAATAATATTTTGATTACTTGATAACGTTATGATTTGTGCCTGTAGTGTACAATATTTTATTTTTAACATTACAATTAGTCGTTGAGTCATTCTCTGTTGTAGTTTCATATAGTTAGTGTTAACTCCTAATGCTTTTATCGATATCGATTATTAACTTTGGCAGTTATTAGCGTATTAAGTTTCACTTGTTGGTGAGTTAACGACTATAATTTAATTTCTTATCACACATTAGTTATTTGTTTTACACACATCATCAACCAGCTGTATTTTTTTTTGGTGACTTAAACGCTCCTGTTATATTTATTGATAAATTAATTATATATATATATATAAATACTGATTGCTTTGAATTATAACTTTATAATATTGTTGAATTGTTTTCATGACGGAATCCATTTTTTACTAAACTTAGTAGAATCATTCACATATTTTACAAAACTAGACAGGTCATAATGTTGAAAATATGTTAAGCTTTTGTATTTGGAATTTATTAAGGCTTTGAAATGATTTTTAGGATTATTTGTAATTTTTTTCATTGTAAAAAATATAGTGCCTACATTGATTCTCTACTAAATTAAATGAATTTAAATGTATTTAACAATTAATTAAAATCTAAAGCTTCTAACTATGGACATTTACACTACCCTCGTCTGACTATAAAAACCCATTTTTTCCTATTTAAATTAGTTCTTTTAGTAATTTTAAAATACACAAAATATGCAACATTCTACTCAGGGTTCTTACTCTATGGGATTTAGTTTTTTTTTTATTTAATTAGGACTTTTAATAATTCTTTTAAAATTAAACGGAACTTGGAATAAATTTAATGTAAATTGTATTTTGGTGTATCTTTTATTTTAAATTTATTTGTTTATTAAATAATAAATTTTTTATATTTCAATAAAATAATCACGCGACATAAAAACGGTAACACTGAAGATGACTAGCTGCTGATAGTGGCGGTGGTCGCCACAGGCTCAACACAAATATATATATACAAATAGATAAAAAAATAAATAGATACTTTTGTCTCGTTACAGAGTTTTATTTTTTAATATTACAAAAACATACTTGTCACGAATATTAGTCCACAATATACATTATATTCGTGGGCAGCAGAACGGATCAACCGTCTTTTTAGGAGCCGACGAAAATTAGATATTCTTTCTTCAAAAATTAATTATTTGCCAATAACATAAAGGTCAGCACGAAAAATTTGAGTATTAATTTAAAGTTTACCGGTTCTGAATTTATTTATACGTAGCATATTGTATCACTTAAGACCATTTTTTGTAAGTTTGAAGACTCATGTGTCAGTTTTACAAAATATTAGTAACACGAATTATAGGCCTTGGCGTTATTAAACAGCACTTTACAAATTTCTGATTGACTATAAATATATTTGATACTTAGAATACTCCTTACATAATACATTTATTTTATTTATGTATTGAGTGCGTGTACGCACTATAGTTTACTAAGTTAATTCGCATTATAGTGACCATAAACTTAAATTAAATTTTATATAAGCATTTCGACATTCAAAATTTTCAATTTAAAATAAAATCTGATATTGCGTATTTTTTTAATTCGGAGATAAACATTTTTTGAACATACCAGGTTTTTCACGTCCATCTTAATTTAAGATTAGTTATAAATAATGATTGTTTGAAAATTGAATTTAAACGAAATGGTAGAAAAATTTTATATGATTAAGTGATCTTTGATTTTTTTAATGAATGTGAAATGGCATTTATTTTATGATTCCTAAATCCGTTTGTTTGGTAATCGGTATAAACCAATTATCATGTCTCGGAATACTTTAAAGAAAAGTATTAAGAATGACTTAAAAATAAATTATCATTCAAAATAGAAACAGAGAAGTTTAAATATGGTCATATTAATACGATTGCGGATAATTGGTCGATTTTTAANTATTAATACGATTGCGGATAATTGGTCGATTTTTAAGTAAATAATAGATTTATTGTTATTTGTATAGGTACCTAATCAACTTAATAGAAAGTAATATAATATATTTTGTTAGATTGTACATTGGAATAACAGTCACATGGATCAAAGAGGATTTATTAAGAACTACTTCTCTTTTAACACCGAGAAGACTAGAAGTGCACATACATATAATGTAGGTAAGATATATACATATAAGTAAGATCTGTTAAAATTAATATAATTAATAATAAAAAATTATTTCTGTTTGTATTGCTCATATTTTTTAACTTATATACAATAAATCTGAAAGTATTATTTTTTTTATGGATAATATGGAAAATCATTAAAAGAGTCTCGAAAAGGAACATTAATGTAATAGAAGATATGTATTATGACACTTGTAACAGGGTAAAAAGCGTAGGAGGAGTATCAGAAGGTTTTCGGGTAAGAGTAGGAGGAGTGTACCAAGGTTCTGCATTAAGCCCTTACTTATTTTTTATAGTGATGGATGAAATTACTAGAAAAATACAAGGAGAGGTGCCGTGGTGCATGTTGTTGGCCGACGATATGGTGTTAATAGGAGAAAATAGGGAGGAAATTAATCAAAGGCTAGAGGTGTGGAGATCAGATTTTATTAATTTTTATTTTTTTAAAAAAAATTTCTTATTATTATCAGCTCTTTTCTTCAAATTTTAAATACAAATTTAGTTATAAGTTTAAAAAATTGTGAAACTGTTTATGAATTATCAATCAGTTTAGTTAAA